TCATTCAGAGTGACTATCTCTTATTACCCAGTACCCTCCATCTTGTGTGTCCAATTTGGATGATATTGGACTTAAATTTCCGGCCATTACCTGCGAACACGTCATGTACATTTTTTTTTTAGGGTTTTTGTCTCTATTGACTCTGGACTCAAATGGTCCAGTCAAAAGTGAGTCCAATAAGCCGCTGACTAAAGACTGTACATTGATATTCTGTTTTCACTGTTATTGAAAAGAAGGTATTTTTTGAGCAATGGAAAAAAAATGGAGACATTATATAATCGATCGCATAGCAATTTTTAATTTTTATTGCTTAAAATATGATTTTTTTTTTTGGCTGACTTATTTACCGTCAGTGGCGTATTTACGGGAGGGGGTCAATGGGGTCTGAAACCCCTACCCTCTCCCTCACAATTGGCCCCATAAACACCTATCTAAATATTTAATATATATATAAATATATACTGTAGTAGAGCCCCCCACTTAAATGTGTTTGGAAAATTAGCAGGAACCTCTACAAAAAATGTCTAAATACGCCACTGTTTACCGTGGATAATAGGTGCAGCGCTTTTATATTATATTTTAGCCATATAGATACATCAATCTATTTAAATATATTTTAGGTTGATTGACGAGTCTCCAAGATGGTTGTGGGGTCAAGGAAGGAAAGAAGAAGCAATTAAAATTGTACAAAAAGCACTGAAAACCAATAATAAAACAATGCCAATATTATTAGAAAAAGAACAAATGTTGTCATTAAATAATGACGAACCCGTCCAAGAAAACAATCAAAATCGATCGTATTCGATATTGGATTTGTTCAAGACACCAAACCTGAGAAATAATACGATCAATGTTTGTCTTTATTGGTAAAGTCACTATAATATAATAAATATGAATTATCTACATCATATGCATAGGTACATAATATCATGTAAGCAGATAGCACATGCGTTAGCTAACAATCATGATTTTTTTATTGAAAGCTAAAATATTATACTCGGTAATTGGTACTTGGTACTTGGTAGTTCAGCATAGACGCAACTAGGGTTAAAATTCTGGGGGCTACAGCCCACCTAACAAAGCTATTAGTTTAAAATAACCTATGGACGGCTTATATCTAAATCAATAAGGAATATTTTGGGAGGGCTAAGTCGCACATAGTCCTCCTAGTTTAGCTACTGAGTAGTTGGTAGATAGTATAGATACTATTGCCTGTGAAAAAAAACTATCTGTTCTAAACATTTACAAATTATCATTCTCATTATCTCGTATAGACATAATGATTTTTATTTGGTAACATTTTAGGTTTGCTGCTAGTTTTGGATACTACGGTATTTCGCTCCGAACAGGAAATCTACCAGGGAACCCATATTTTATGCTTTTTGTGATGGCAGCTGTGGAAATTCCTAGTTATGTATTTGTAACATTATCAATGGATCGTGTGGGAAGACGATTTCTTAGCAGTTCAATGATGATTGTCGGAGGAACTGCTTTGCTTGTTTCTGCATTTTTCCCTTCGGGTAAATTAATTTTATCGATTAATTTCTGTATAACATCAATATTATTAAAACAATTATGCAACTTTAGATCCATTATCACAGTCGATATCTACTGGTATTGTGTTCCTTGGAAAGTTTTGCATAGCAGGAGCTTTTGCTATTATATACAATTATACTGTAGAACGTTTCCCCACTGTAGTCCGAAACACCGCTATTGGACTTGGAAGCATGTTCGCACGTTTAGCCGGTGGTTTTACTCCTTTAGTCACCCTATTGGTTAGTTAAAATACATATTTTAAAATTTATACTTTTAATGTAAACAATTTTAGTAGCTTTATAATTGTATAGTAAATAATACTATAGTAACAATTTATAGGATGTATATGACATAAGAGCACCTGCAATAACGTTTGCTGTAGTGACCCTTATGTCTGGAATATTGAGTACTCTACTACCAGAGACCCTTAATACAGTAATGCCACAAACCATGGAAGACGGTGAAGAATTTGGGAAAGGTGATACATGTTTTACTACTGGATGTTTTGGACGATCAAAAAAACCGCAGCCAAAACAAAAAGATATACCTCTTGAAGAAAGTTACTAATTGTAAATCAAAACAACAAGGAACTTTAGTAATCTAGTTTTTAAGTTAAGTTATTCTTATGTAAATTGTTTTTTAAATATGTACTTATATTTTGGAGATACATATTTTATTTACATTTTATATGTAATTTATTTTTAAACTCATTTGTTTTCATTAATTAATATATGCTTAGAGTTTAAGGATGACAATAACATACATTTTTACAGAAAAATAGTTCGAATAGTCGAATTTTCGAATAAATAAAAAGCTTAGACGTAATCAGAATAATTTGTAATACTATCACGAATAAAAAGTTCAATATTATAAAATGTGTGAACAAAGTACAAATTTAAAATATCTACTCATAAGTCATAATATTATATTGATATAATTAATAGTAGTTTTAAATTTACGTATTTAATTTATATTTTTATAAGCAATAAATAATTGATAATTGAATATAATATATTTTATACAAATAGTTTTTTGAGACAACAACGAATTCAATTTTATGATTAGGTACTCACTTTAAATCTTCAAAATGTATTGACGACTGTTTAATTCACATTATTTTCGTATTTTTCTTAAGTACATAATATTATGTAAGCTTTAAGAGTAAACATTATATTTTTCATCCACTGTGATTCACTCCGTGTTTTCCTCAAATAATAAATAAATTTAAATTATAATTTTTGGAATTTTTAAGTACCTATACCAACGTAAGAAGTACGTAAGGACCATAATATTATGTTAAATACTTAGAATTATTACCTCTAAAAAGTTTTCTCTGAGACGTGGGTGTAAATTGTTAAGCAGATATAATACAGTGAGCGAGGCATACATGCATCATCCGATCATCGTGTAAAACATACCACAATGTCTGTCGTAATAATTGAAAATGGGAAATTTCAGTACTCGCTACAGCAAAATAATTACAGTGAATTAAAAATTAAATAGAAGTCAACAATTTTTTTTTTTTATAGGTTTCGAATAATTTTAGTGTCGCAATTATAACGACAAAAAAAAAAAAAAGGTATGTAAGTGGATGTCTCTTTGGCCTTTGATGTACAGCAGGTTTCAAGTGGATCACTGTATAATGAATGGTATTAAATTTGAATTCAATGATATACCTAATATCATTGTATACCAAAAAACGATTTTGAGAGGTGCGGTTTGTCAGTGTGGATATTTTATATTATATTTTTATTGTTATTACTTATTATTAATACGGTAGGTAAGTCCAGTAAGTTGAATTAATGTTATAAAATTACAACAAAATAACTAAAATCGTTATTCTTGGTTATTTAATATGTAATACTCTCCAAATTTGAACATAAAAAACTGTCTTTTTATATTTTTGAGATTTTTTGGTTACAGAATTAACTATACTTACGTGCAACCTTCTTTCTCAATTTTCAATGCTTAGCTATAAAAGTTGAACATTTTATAAATTATTAACTACAAAATCGTTTTTAAATCTTAAATCTAATAAATGTTGTCAAAAATCGAAGCTTAAATGCTTATAAAAAAATTTTTCAATATCATTGTAACAGTATATTAGGAGCCTTGAATTAAATTTTCAAGCTTTTTTACCTAACAATTACAATTTTATTGATATTCATAGAAAAAAAACCAAAAAAATTAGAAATCAAAAATGTCCAAACAGCTCATGACAAGTCAAAATATTTTGAATATTTTATGGTATACCTATAGCAAATGGTAATATAAATGTACAGTGAAAAATTCTTATATCTTAAACCAAAATCGATTTTGTCGAAAACCGATTATGCGTAAAAATTAACGGTTTTCCTTCCTTTGTTGTTTGTTTTTCCCGGCGCTTTTAAAAATTATTGGGTAATTTAAATGGTGTCCTCCTGAATGCACCAACTAGATTCACTTTCCCATCGAACAAGTAGTTTAAATATGTTGGTTGCCACTCCGCCCTTCATTTCAGGAGAGCGCGTTAGGAGGTGGAGAGTACGTACTGTTTACGTTGTAATTTTAGGCGTGCACCCCACGTGAGTCATTCACGTTTGACTAGAGTTAAACCAATATTATATTGTAATAATATTAATATATTACATTAATTATTATTTATTACCTCTTTTTTTTTTTGCGTGGTATCGAGGGCCGGAGAATGAACCAAGTTGCTAATACTTCTCCTCCGGATTACATTATTAGTATCTATATCATTTGATTTGCTGTTGGAATTATTTGATTATTAAGGTACTAGGACGTAGTAAGGTCACAATTTCGATAAACTTAAACTAGGGATGGTATAGGCTAAATGCATACAGACAGTTGACGAGTTGCGCCAATGATGGTCCGAGCTATGATCCAGTATTTTTAGGTTCAGTATTTTAAATTTTAGTGGGAAACTTACTCAAAGGTGATAAAACATTGATAAAAACAAAACAATTTAAAAAAAAATAATAATTAACTTATGCAAGAAATTTAAATATTATATAATAATATTTTTAAGATACATATATCAATAATCTATATTATATAACAAAAAGAAAAATATCATGGCATATTGTCTGTGATCATGGTATAAATATCGATCATTTGTGAACTTGTATCACTTATCACAACGACTAGTTTTTTATTATAGTTACCTAGTTTCCATCTCTTTTTAGTATAATATTTTACTGCCACGGCTGTAGATACCTACTACACAGATAACTACGTATAATATTATCTTAACAGTATTATTTATTTATATTAATTATGTAAACAAGAAACGAAAATCAACACGTACAATTATAAAAACATTTTTTTATTATATCTAACACTTATTAGGTACCTACTTTGGAGGTTGCGTTCTATTTCGAAATCACAAACTCTTTTAATTATTAAATCAATTAAGTTAGTTGTTTGAAAAGTTCATCAACAATAAGAAGTAGATTAAATGAATCATGTTACCGGAATCTACAACTATTTATCATGAAAAACAAGTAATATAGTTAACACCGTGTTATTTAATACATTTTTACTAATACTTACACAGTACACATTATTTATTTATATTTATTATTTAGTCCAAGGAGTTATGTGCATTACACGCTCTCAACAATTTGTTTCAATCAAAAGAGGCATTCAAGCAAATGGAACTTGATGCTATATGTTTTTCACTGTCACCCAACAACTATATAAATCCACATCGTTCGATTTTAGGTATCGGTAACTATGATGTCAACGTTTTGATTGCTGCATTACAAAACAAAGGCTATAGTGCCTTTTGGTTTGATAAAAGAAAGTTAGTATCATAAAAAAATATGCTACAACTTGTGATATACAAATATTGCTATACTTTTTAATACAAATTGAAAATTACTTTTTCAGTAACAGAAGTAATTTAATTATATTTTATTTAAATTAACACATTATATTACATGTTATTTAATAATTGAAAAATTGAGAAAATTAAATGAACAACTCTTAACAATATAAAGTTGTTCAGAATTTATGTTAATTTTTCATTTAATTTATCAAAAAAACAGAAACTTACCAGTTTTCTGTTTGAAGGTCCAGAGAGGGCAAAGGAGGCATTTGCCCCCCCCCCCCCATCACCGTAGTTTCCCTTTGTATTACACTGTTTTTAGCCAATTTTGTAGCAAATGTATGTACTTTTTTCCCCTCAATGCCCCCCCCCCCCCCCAAAAAAAAAAAAATTAAGGCCTCGATCCTCCACTGGTAAAGATTGTAAATATAACTTTTTTAGATGAAAATTAAAAAAAAAAATAACTTATATAAAGCTCTACCTTTTGAATGAAAAATTAATGTAACAAAAACTTATGTCAGGGAGTATGAAAATATTTCAAATCAATAAATAATGTACTTTTTGTAAGTTCCTTGTATAATACCCGTTTGCTTATACATTTTACTTTTTGGAAATTTAATGATTATTAGCACTAACAATATCTACTACATTGTATTTAGTTTTGATAGAAAATTATTTACAAAAAAACAGTGTTTGTACTATTCCATTTTTTTGAATTCAATAAATAAATACTGTTTCTAATAATTAATATATTAATACCGAGTTGCATGAAAAATATATTAGTTTAATGACAATAACATTTAATGGACCAATCATGGGCCACTAAATCATGTTTAAGAGACTATTAGCTCACTATTAATTCTTTAAATGATTAGTGATTGTTCATATAACACGGCATTAGCTTATTAGCTCAATTAAAATTTTGTATTAATTTATTAGATATTTGAATATAATATGTGATAACATTTTGAGTCTTATTTAAAATAATTTCATATATTTTTGTTGAAATAAATAATTTATAGTTTATCTGAAGGTAAAATATATTACTTATGTCTTATATCATAAATTACATTGACTGATACAAACTAATTAATGATAGGTAGTTTATTTAATTTGTATTTGTCTTGATTTTATATTAAACTTTTGAAAAATGTATGTTTTGAGAAATATGAATTTTAAACAATTTTTTATACATTAGGGACCCAAAAATGTTGAAATTGGATAAAATATTTGGGTTTGTAATGAACATACCCAGCGAATGTCGTTTAGGATTTTTATGGTTACCATTAAAACGAAGACATTGGATATCTATCAAAAATATTAATGGAATTTATTACAATCTAGATTCAAAATTACCTAATCCATCTCCAATTGGAAATGTATGTCATGATTTTATTATGTTTTATTTATAATTATTACAACAATAAATTAATATTTTTGTTTCAGGAAGAAGATCTTTTTAATTATTTCAGAAACCAACTTCATATAAATGACAATCAATTATTTGTTGTTGTTACTGGTGATAATTATAATTGGATTGCATCAGAAGACACTTCAGTTGATCAACAACAAATACAGTCACTTGATAACAGATAGTTAATATAAATTATCAATATTTTTTTTTATATTATAAAATGTATGCAACATATTACCAAAATATATGAGCCAAACCATTCACTGATATTGCATTAGATTGGTAAAAATAGCATACTAAAATGTGATTTATAATTGTTATATTTGTTACCAGTATTAATCTGAAATAATATTAATTGTTATTTTAATTTATAATTGCACCTACACATTCAAATAAAAATATTATTTTAATAACAATATTATTATATATTTTGTTTTAAATATCTTAAATATTATCCATCTTAAAAAACAAAAAAAAATATATTAAAAAAAAAATCACAAGTCTTGTTCAATGTTGATTCTAAACATTTTTAAGTTCAACAAAAACAGTTGATATTTTTAATAAATATAAAGTTCACTTTTGTGGATTACATTTAATATACAAATCAAAACTTATGTATATAAAATAGTGCGTAGAACAAAATATTATCTGTCTCTAATAACTAATAAATAAATATCAATGCTTGAATGCTAAATAACTAATCAATAATAAAATAATATTACCTAATCTAATCATTAATCAAATATATATATATATCAGCAATAATTTTGTACAAAAATATAAATTTAAAAATTTTGCTTAACAATAAACAGTAATATTATACATAGTTGGATAATAAATGCATTTAAACAATTTGTTTAACATATAAACAATAATAAAGATAATATTTCATTAATGAGAATTTTTTTGTTGGAGAAAAAATATGTATAAGAATTGAGATTAAAAAATAATAATAGAAATTAGATCAAACATTTTTATCTTATTAAGTTATGACAATAATAATGGCATAATTCAATTGCTTTTATTTTATTTTTGGATATCTAGCATATTAAATGTAAATAGTTACTAAATTTGATTTTAAGGTGTAGGAATAGATAGCAGGATGTACCTTATATAGAGAAAGATAACTGTAAGTTGAGATACAATGAAAGATTTATGATGAATTTCGAAAATAAAGTTACAAAAAAAAATTCATAGTTTCGTTTACAATGAACATAACCAAATAAACATTTAACAAATACCTGCGTAAATTCAAAAAGTTACTGAAGCATTAAAGATTCCAAATTTCTATGTAAAATTGTATCTTTAACAGCATTAAATACAACTTTAATGTTTTCTGTGTCCACAGCAGTAGTGAAATGATGAAACAGTGATTTTCTTGGATCGCGTTTCGCTTGACGAAAGAAATCCAATAAAAATATTTGTACATCAGGCAAACTATGAGGATCTCCTAAAACATGTATATAATATTAATTATTAATCTACACTTATTTATAAATAAAAAGATTGAAACAATTTATATTATGGAATGAAACTCACATATTTTTACAACAAATAATATTAGGCAAGCTTGAAAATAACAAAGTATAAATTAACATTTATTATGAAATTAATAATGTTAAAATTACACCAGAGTTGGATGTTATTCAAAACTTTTATTTTGTATACTTAATTATTGATAAAAATTACCTGCAAAATTTGGGAAATAATGCTTGATATTTGTTTCTCTTCTTTCTAATTTGTCAGCCAATAAGTCAGTTTTGTTCATAAAAAGTATTATGGAAACTCGTCGGAATATTACATTATTTACAATAGAATCGAATATGTCTTTTGATTCTTCTAATCTATTTGTTTTTCTAAAGAAAAAAAAACATAGATTAAATAGTTTCTTCTATTTTAGTTTGTAACTGAAGAAAGAGATATATATTTAAATACACTTAAGATTTCAGTAAAAATTACTAAAAAGTTTTTGCCACATTATATATCTAGAGGTAAAGAAAAATAATAATAATTCTATTAGAATAGGTATTCTGATTGTTAAAATTAAAAATAGTAATCTTTAACAATGATAAGTGGTATTTTTTTAATAAAAATGTTAATAAATTAGAGCTAATTTAAAAATTATGATAAAAAATGTATTCAGTTAACCTAGAAATAGTCATGTAATAAATATAATTTATTTTATTCAAATATAAAACTGGTTTTAATACTCATAACAAAAATACAAATAAATATCTGAATTTGAAGGGGTTTTGTTGGTTATTAGCAATTTATTTAAAAAAAATATTATATGAAATATTATAAATAACAAGAATGAAGTGATGTGAGATCTTTTTTTACTCATCAACAAAATCCATTTTGGCTCAGTATTTTATAAACTGAATAATTCACCCACAAGCTCACTATATTTTATCCTTTAACAATGCTTTTATAAAAATAGTAGTTTAAGATATTTTTTATGTACACTTAAAAACAATATTTTTGTCAATTTAGATTATTTAAACCAATTTAGGAGTATTTTATTAGGTAGAAAGATAATTTTATACTACAGTAGTCTCGCTTCAGAAATTCATATCTTGAAAAAACAAAAAATAAATATAAATAGTCATACATCAATAAGATGTTTTGCTTTTATCCTTAACTGTTTTAAGTATTGAGACTGATGTCATTTTTATGATAAAATCATTGATTTTAATAGTATTATAGACAATTTTAAGATGATTACGTATAACCCCAACGGAGTTTGGTCCTAAAAAGTCCTATTTAGCATGAATACCGTACTACACATTTTACATTTTTCAAAACATCATACAACATACCTGTCTTCTACAAGAACTTGATCAAATTCAGAAGAGGATACTAGAAATAATATCGATGTGACAGAATCAAAACATTGAAACCATTTCTGTCGTTGGGATCGTTGTCCACCAACATCAACAAATCGAAATGGAATATTGTTTATTGGAATTGTAAACTCATAAATGCCTTTAGTAGCTCGTCTAGCATGTAAAATATCTTTATTTGTTGGTAAATAGTCCTAAAATTGTTCAATTTAAATTTATTAAATTATTACTGAATGTCAAATTAACTATTAAAAGTATAACTTACACTTCTAGCAATATTTTCAATATTATCAAGAAAATATTGTACTGAATCACTAAGTTGAAATTCTCTCCTCCGTTCAAATGCTCTTTTAATAGCAGCATCTTTCCACAAGCAGTACATTGATGGAGCATACGACTGGAATAATCGTGTATCCAAAGTGGTACGATTGTCGAAACTCAAAATAAATTCACCATTTTTATTATTATCGGGGTTTTCCCATGGTATACCTAACTTTTGCCTAGCATCTGCTAATACTTTCATACCTATTTAAAATTAAAAATTGAAATAAATCATCTTATTAAATTGTATTGAAAACTATTATTACCTCTTAATATATTTTGATAAATTATGTGCTGGTATTCAATGACAAGTTCAGGTTCAAAATGTATACCGTGAATAATGCGCATTTGCTTAAGGAATGTTGATTTCCCGCTCTCACCGGCTCCCAACAATAGTAATTTTACTTGTCGGCGCAACAGGTGTTTATCTTTGTCTATAAGTTTATCAATTTCTTTACTTCTATACCGTTGTTCCACTTCTTCAGCACTGAACTTGAATCGCAGACAACACGGACACGTAATTGTACATCTTGCCATTTTTCAGGTCCTATCATCTTTTTCCATGAAACAAATCAACAAAGGTTAGAAGTCCCTTTGATTTCTAAAAATATAAGTGAGAATTAACTTTCAAACTTTTCCCTACAAATATATTTGCATGCATAGCTATTATTTAAGCAAACGATAACTCAATTTAAAAACCGGCTATTCAATTATATAAATTGAATAACAATAGAACAATATGAAAAAGGGTGGACTAGGATAATCCATTTAAAATATACTACCGTACAATATAAGTAATACTCATAACATAGGTACATAGTCGAATAACTTACACAGTCCAGAAAAAAAGCATGCCTCATATTTAATCATTTAGATAATTAATTTGAATATTATACTCTGCTCGGCAACAACATGTAATAACGTCAACTTCCAAATTACTAATATAAATATTAAATACTCTACTTTTTGGGGCTTGTATCATGAATTTCTTTTATTGTGTGTGTTTGTATTGATAAGGAGATAACATAATATTTCCACGGCACCGCGTATGAACGCCATCTTGCGGTCTATTTAATAGCTATTTGGAATAATTATCATTTTAATATTCGGTCTTTATCTTAACACAAAATACAAATCAGAAATTCAGAACACAAACAATCGCGTTCGTCAAACTGTAGAACATCAACAACTACATTCGACAGCTTTTATAATAATTTAATAATTGGAATTATTCTACTTTTTAATTTTAATTTCTAAATACTTATTCAAAATGACGTATTGTACTACCGGTATGTATATAACTTTTATATTTGTACACATTTTGTAATTTTCAAAACAAATGAAATTATTTGGCGTTCGGCTCTCCTATAACACAATACTGTAACAATTGATTGTAGGAAATACCATAAATGAACAACCACTCTATTTATAACTAACAACGAATTAAGAGTTTTCCAATTTCAATATTCAGTGAGCTATTTTGTGGGTTAGTCTAATTTACTGATTTACTGATTTACTGATTTACTGATTTGGGGCCATAGCGCCCGTAGCATGGGCAAACTAAGTCCGAATAAGTTCAAACTTCACAAGTGCCATTATAATACCCCCCTCCAACTCCCTACCAAATTCCAGGTTGCCCCGTCGATTTTCACTTCCGGGTTACTTGTCGCAGAAATATCACAAACTTAAAAACTTAACCAAAAATTATGAAATTTTTTACTCGGCATAAGTTGTACCGTATTTAAATATGGGGAAAATCTCAAGTGCCTACCTCGAAAACCCATGCAGTTATAAGACAAATCAGTAATTTATTCACATACATAATCGAATCAGTAAAATCACGCGCCGCCGTCCAGGAAAACTGCTGATTTGCTCTTACACTCGCAATACTTAACCAAAAATTATGATATTTTTTGCACGGTATCGGTTGTACCGAATTTAAATACCTTGGAAATTTCAAGTGCCTACCTCGAAAACCCATGTAGTTATAAAACAAATCAGTAATTTATTCACATAATCAAATCAGTAAAATCACGCGCCGCCGTCCAGGAAAACTGCTGATTTACTCTAAAACCCGCAATAGTTTATAGAAAATAATGAAATTTTTTACACGGTATCGGTTGTACCGAATTTAAATACCTTGGAAATTTCAAGTGCCTACCTCGAAAACCCATGTAGTTATAAAACAAATCAGTAATTTATTCACATAATCGAATCAGTAAAATGACGCGCCGCCGTCCAGGAAAACTGCTGATTTGCTCTTACACTCGCAATAGTTTATAAAAAATTATGAAATTTTTTACACGGCATGAGTTGTACCGTATTTAAATATGGGGAAAATCTCAAGTGCCTACCTCGAAAACTCATGCAGTTATAAGACAAATCAGTAATTTATTCACATAATCGAATCAGTAAAATCACGCGTAGCAGTGCAGGAAAACTGCTGATTTGCTCTTACACTCGCAATAGTTTATAAAAAATTATGAAATTTTTTACACGGCATGAGTTGTACTGTATTTAAATACTATGGAAATTTCAAGTTCCTACCTCAAAAACCCATTCAGTTATAAATTATAATGCAGTTCAGTAATTTGTTGACATAAACAAATCAGTAAAATGATAAGAATCCTGTATGTTATGTTGCATTACAACATTTCTAGGGCACTTACTAAAATAATGCAATTATTACACATTATAAGAATAATATATATTTTAATATTTAATATGATCATTATAACATAATAATATAGCACTAGACAATGACTTAGGATTTATCTACATCCCTAAAATTAAAATTAAAATTAAAGGTTTGTCATGGGCTAAGGTTAGCTCTTCTTTGGATTTTTTTTTAATTTTGAATGTAGCATTGTACAACTAGTGCATATATTTTAAGTGCATTATTATGACAACTGGCTCGTTTATTATATTGTTAAAATGTTTTTAGAGAATTGAATTATTTGGGAATTTGCCTTCATAATAATGTGTCTTAACATAATATAATAATAATAAATGGGCTGAGCAACTTGTTTTACAAAATATCAATAAATGAAAATCAGTTGTACCTTTTAGTACCTGTAGTGTTTTTACAGTGTTATAAGCGGCAATTTTGGCACCCAAATTTGTATCTCTTGTGTTTGGAAATTAATTATGAGGGTTAGACATTTTTCTCAAATGTACTTCTTACAAAATAAGTCCCTACCTATACAATAGTTACTAAAATAAAGCAACGTATTGCACTTGAGTGTGACTTAGAATTCATCCATATAGATACCTGAAACAAAAAACTCATGCGGTTGTATGTACCTCATTTAAATCAGAGCCGTCATACCCAAATAAGTATAATTATTAATTTCTCTTTATGTGCCAATGAGTATATTATAGTAATTTACACTTTTCATTTTTAAGTTAATCTTTATCATACAATGTACCTAAGTTTCGATATAAAGATGTATGTATAAAGTATGCAGCAATTATTGTTTTTTTTTTACCAATAAATTACAATACTTAATGAATTGTTGCTATATTGCTTTCAAATTGTATGTAATTAAGTCCAGTTTTTATAACAACATATTCAAATTTGGTTTATACAGTTTTTCTAAAATATATTGCTATAATATACCATCACTAAGAAAAGTAATTAATTGAAAGCTTAAGTTTTTGTTTAATTTGTTAAATTGTTAAATATATATAGTCTTGTTTAACCTAAAAGTGTTATAAACTATAATAATTTGTTTAAACTTAAATACAAAACTGCAAACTCAAGTCAACCAAATAAGGCTGTCAAAATAATCAATTATTAAACATTATTTCAGCTTAAAAAAATTAAAAACAATTAACAATACACAAAAAGAAATGTTTACTTACTTCATTACCTATTATTTCATAATTCATAGATATTTATTTATAATATAACATAGCATTTATTTATATAATTTATGATATATTGATTATAAAACAAATTAATTTTATAAATTACACTGGTACAAAGTCATAAATATTACTCATATTACTTATAAGTTATAACTCATAGATACCTACAGTATTTTGAAGATACTCTATAAAATGCACACAATTTCTTTCATCTATTTTATTTTTTTTATTCGGTGCAAAGTTATATAGAGTGTTGTATAACATTGAACCACGATAGCGGATATATTATACTATAATGTTTACGATGCTTTGTACCAACATTAAAACTCTCTTGATTTCACTTCTAAGCAAAAATTCCTCAATATTTATTGTAGAAAAGATCTAAAAAAAGGTGGGTAAGTGGATGTCGCTCTGCTGTACTGTAGGTTACAAGTGGGTCACTGTATAATGGATGGTTTAAATTTGAATGCAATGATATAATATCATTGTATAAGAAAAACGATTCTGAGCGGAGACGGTATGTCGTCTAGATATAAGACATATTATATACTTTTCTATGGTATTAAATTATATGGAATTTATGAATAAATTCCTTAAAATATACACAGTCTTATCATGAGCATAATTCTTCTTCCTTATACTATGGTAGGTTGTATGGATAGGCCATAATATTTTGATTTTTCAGTTTCATATATCCCCGAATTATATTTTTGAATTACAACAAAAACAAAGATCATTAATATTGATTTTAATATGTAATTTCATCCAAATTTGAATTTAAAATGTCTGTAAAAATAGCTGTGTTCATATATTTTTTAGATTTTTTGGTTACAATATGAACTATTTATGAGAACCTTTGTTTTAAATTTGCAATCTTTAGCTATAAAAACTGAACATTTTATAATTTATTCATTACAATGATTGATAATTTTCGAGATTTTGATAAATTTTGTCAAAATTCAATGTTTAAATGCTTAAAAAAAAAAAATTGTGCCTATATATTTTTAATATTTTTCAATGGCTACTGTAACAATACCTATATCAGGAACCATGTATTAAATTTTTACACTTTTTGGCCCAACAGATAAAATTTTATTGATATTTATGGAAAAAAAAACTAAAAAAATTTAAAACTGAAAATGTCCGTAAACAGCTCAAAAGAGTCGAAATATTTTCAAAATTATACAGTGTATAGGAAATGCTAATCTGAACATTCAGTGAAATTTTCATGTATCTATAAATATTCGTTTTTGAATTACAACAAAATAAGAAAATCGCTACATGAGAAATCAAGTGAATATCCAATGTTGTAAAAATTTGAATTTCAAACGCTCATAAAAATTTAATTTGACTTTCCGGCAGAGATTTTTTTATTGATAAAGGTAGACAATCTTATGAGTAATCTTGTATTAGATTTAGAATTAAAAAGAAAAATTTTTACGAATTCTTAACTCAAAATAATTTGCTAATTTTTGTGATTTTTCCATATTTTGTCAATTTTTGAACTTTAAATGCTTGTAAAAAAAAACTGTGACTAACGATTTTCAATATTTTTTATCTGCCTTTGAAACAATATACTAGGCGCCTCCTATTAAATTTTCATGCTTTTTTACCAACAAATAAAATTTTATTGATATTTTTAGAAAAAATACTAAAAAAAAATGGAA